CGAAATTAAATGGCTGCATTATGATGGGCAACAAGACTTGATGGACAACAGGAAATTGATGAAAAGCACAAAGTATGACTTTCATCAACTTTTTAATGACATATATTATACTTCAATTTTCGGTGGCAGTGTAAGCAACAAGTATAAATACAAATTTGTGGAGAAATATGGCAAAATAATTCTCTTACAATTTCATCAGCAATATGTAGTTAAAAAGTGTAGAGTTTTGTGACTCAAAAAAGCTCAATCCACCAAATTGCCCACAATCTACCAAATTGCCCACAATTTTAACTCATAAAATATTGGGGTATTGGCTAAGGATGTTTGTGTAAAACAGATAAGACTGTTTATACAGTGCAATAATTCTGAATGCTGAATTGCTGAAGACATGGTCAACAATAAGTAAGAAAATGACAATAACAGTGCGTGGAAGTTAATTGTCACCAGCACAACTACTGTAAGATTGTTTTTTTAGAAAAAAAAGTTTTGAAACTAAAAAAATAATGCTTTTGTTTCTTAACATGTTTCAAAGTATTATAAGTATTCAAAGTTTTTAGTAGTAGACCAGTGGTAAAATATTTAGCTCACAATCATAAGGATCCAGGTTCAAATCCATCCTACAATTCTGGAAGTAATGTGCTCAACATTGATTTTTACACAACAGCCTTGTTTAAAGAAAGTTCATATTTCAAAGTATAGGGTTAAGGGAGAGTTTCAAATAAAACTAAAATTAAAAAACTACCTGCCTACTCCTAAGAGCCTACTACCTCCTAACTACCTCCTACCTGCCTACTCCTAAGAGCCTGTACCTACTCCTAACTACCTCCTACCTGCCTACTCCTAAGAGCCTGTAGTTCTTGAGACTTATTAAAAAATTTTAAAAATAAAAAAAAATCCAGCTGAAAGTTTGAGTTGCTGAAATATTCTTGTTGACCAACTCATACTGCAGAAGATGCTAGAACAGTTGTAAAGTGTTTATTGCATTTTTCCCACATCTTTATGTATGTTAGAAAAATGATGAAAATATTTGATTTGTAATAAATTAAAAATATACAGTATACAGTCTAAAAAATGTACGAACACCGTTTATAATAATTATCATTATTATTTTTTCAACTGTTTTTTGCTGTTATAAACGATATCTTAATCATCCTCATCTAAAAAAGTAAGAATGTTAGTGTTTTCAGACGTAAAAAGAAGAACTCTACTGCAATTATTGTGCCACCAGGTTGCAGGATCCCACAAACAAATTGTACTTCAGAGGCTAGTTTAACAATCATTACAGTTTTTTTTTAGATATAGATCTAACAAGTTAAAAGCAACTTATTACAAAAAAACCGTTTAAGTATGAAGGTATTTAAAAATATTTATATAACCATATTGTAAGCAGAGTAATACTTAACGAATTTAATAGTTTTTTAAATTGTCTACGATTGACTATTGACCAGTTATTGTGGAAAGATTTCTAATTTTAGGAAAGTAAAATATTCTTTTCAGAGGCCACAGGGTAATAGCAGCATATATAGTCAATCAAGTCAAAGGTGTTAAAGTTTATTTTATTGATTTTTCTAATCAATTAATATATTTTTTTCATTTTTTCAAGTTATAAAAAATAAAATAATATATAAATTATAATTAAGCATTATGTGAAAGAAATATTAACCATTTGGCTGTTTCACCAGCCAGACAATTTCTTTTTGGAGTTATAATGTTTCCTGCAGTGGAAAAAGCTCTTTCAGACGGAGTAGATGTTGATGGTATACATAAATATTTTTTGGCAAGTTTCGAAATCATTGGGTATCTTTTGTTATTTTCAGCCCACCATGTTAATGGACAAGCATTTTTGTTGATACAGTTTTCTCTTAAATATTTTTCAAGCTCATTTTGTTGATTAACATCTTCACCACTGTCATTTTGGGGAAATAAAATATCTAAAGCAGATACCATGGAGCTTGGCTGATTAATAGAATCATTAACTGAAGAATCTGCATAATTAAATTGATGCATAATAAAATCTTTTAAGGTAATTAAAATATCACTTTCATCATCAAAAACATTTTTATAACGTGGGTCTAAAAGTAAAGCAATATTTAAAAGAAATATAGAATCACTGTGCATTTGACTAAAAAATCTTGCTTTGAACTCTTGTGACAATGTTTCTTTTAATATTTTAATTTTATGTAGGTCAGATTCGTTGGGAGTCAAATAGTGTTGGGCAATTTTTTTTAAAATAGTATGTACAGTTGATATGGAGTTGCACAGTTGTACAACTCCATATCAACTATATGGAGTTGTACAACTTTTTTAGTATGTACAGTTGGAGTTGCAGATGACAAGACTTTAGTAACAAGATCGAAATGCTTGAGCACTTTTACTAACTGCTCCAATAGCTCCCATTTACTTTCGCTGAGTTCCAGTGATATTGCTGTTGTTCTAGTAGTGGTATTACGATCATTTAAAACTATGCTTATACATTGTCGAGACTCAATAAGTCGTTCAACCATTGCATAAATCAAATTCCATCTAGTTTTAACAGGCTGAATTATTTTTTTCTGGCACTTTTAATTTTTTCTGTACTACTTGGAGTGCTTTGATTGCTACTGTTGAGTGTTTGAAATGTGAAACGATTCTAGATGCAGTAATTAGTATTTGTTTTATTTCATTTTCTTCCAAGCCTTTCTTGACACATAACTGTAACGAATGAGCAAAACATGTCCTACTTTTAATGTTTGGAGCCATTGCAGTAACGGCATTCTTAATATTTACCGCATTGTCATGCACAATACATATAGTTTTTGTATCAATTTCCCATTCCTTCATAATATCAACTAATTTGTCTTTTAAATTTATGCTGGTATGCCGCTCATCCATTAATTCAGTTGTAATAATATAATTGACTATTTTCCAGTTTTTAGTTATGCCATGTGCAGTAACTGATATGTAAGATTCCATAGCTGTACTTGTCCAACAGTCAGTAGTTAATGCTATTGAGTCTATTTTCTGTATTTCAGTGGCTACTTTATGTTTTTCTGTCTCATACAGTCCTTGAATTCTTCTTTTGATTGTAAACCGACTTAATATTTCATAATTTGGTGATATTTTATTCATAAACTCAACAAATCCAACACCATCCACTGTTGAGAGTGGTAGCATATCTTTGGCTATAAATTTTACAAGACTGTCTGTTATTTGCTCTTGTCTTTTGGCTGATACAGATGGTGAAAAGAACATCTCTGTTATCTTTGGCTGCGTTAATAGTCCTATGTTTCCAGATTCTGATACTCTTGTTGTAGATGTTGATGGTGAACAGCTAACTTCAGTATTAATACTATTATTATCATAAATATCAGTCTCATTTGATGATTTAGAGGTATTTTGCAGATCATCATCAATGTCATCGTCATCATTTTTTAATAATCTAAAAACATAATTCAGTTTTGAATTTAAATATATAATAAAATATTTTGTATTTTGTACTTTAGAAACTCCAATGTAATGTTTTAAATTAAAATTTTAAATTAAAACTTTTAATATCTATTTGGATGAATGTAATATATATTAATATACTTTAATGTAATAGTAGCTTAAAATATATTTAATAATTATTTAAGTTTATTATTAAATTTGAATACATACAAATTACAAATCATATTACAAAGTATAACTAATATTGTAACTTATATAACATGTTGAATACATTAAAATAATTTATGGGCCATATTAGCAATGTCGATACATCCAAATAAAATAATTACCTTTTTGTTGGTTTATTACGAGAAAGTCCATCACTTATATTGTGTTTGGTTCGCATGTGATTCCATAATATGCATGGTATACAAATACAAATACAAATTAATCACAATTAAAAGTAGCTATTTAAAAGTCATCTGCTCACAGTACACACATGACAGTATGACACACACACAATCAATGATTTAACTTAATCAGTAAGTACTACTTACTGATTAAGTTAAATCATTGCTACTTACTTAGTAGTTGCTTTTATTTAATATACGTGCAAATGGTAATTAATAATTACTTAAATAAAATAAATAAAAGTCACATACCTATATTATAGATATTTAAATTATTGTTTTAGATTTCTAGAATAAAATCTTTTCATTTTTATTATAATTTACCTGTACTGCCTGAAGTTTTGAATGATTTTCCACAGGCATTGCAAAATACTAAGTGCTTGTTGTGTTTTTTAATACCTTTGGTAAAACTTGTCCAAATTTGAGACATTTTTAATAAGTAAACTTTAAAATATCAACAGTTTAATAACAAAATATGATATATATAAAATATGATATAATGATATAATACAAATTACGATACGACACGTAATAAGTACTAATGTAATAACAAATTACTGAGCTGTAAACTAGTAACTAGTAGATTACAAAAAACTACAGAACAGTGAGTACTGAAAATAAATAACATTGCCTCATGACTGACGACTGTTATTAAATATTAATAAAAGTACAATGTAATTACTCAATGTAAATACTTTAAATTTTCACCAAATGTTTATATTAGTGTTGAGTTTTTTAAATTTTAAATTTAATTTTTCCAAGTATTTTTTTTTTGGAATAAACCCGATTAAATCGGGCCGATTTATATCATAATCCGGATTGGGTATGTTAATCCGGATTATGATACACCACTATCAGAAACCACCCAGCAAGATTGTCAAGCAGATTATTAATATAGATGAGAAACAACATGGCACCAAGGAATATATATATATATATATATATATATATATATATATATATATATATATATATATATATATATATATATATATATATATATAGATAGATAGATAGATAGATAGATAGATAGATAGATAGATAGATAGATATGTCTAATTTTTTATGTTAAAACGCACAAAATAAATACTTTTCAAATTTTTTTATCGCCAAATGTCAAAGATTTGTTGCATAATTATTTTTTATTTGTTGCATAAGTGTTAACATAAGTATTTCGTTTTTTAGGGCACTGGGACCGACAATATTTGGAGTTTCTTACAGCTGGTCATTATCAAATGTTGAGCATCATAGACTTGGATTTCCATTCAATCAATACTTTGTTTTTTTCTTAATTTCTCTCTGCTGTTTTTTAAACCTTATTTACGTTTACTGGTTAATTCCAACTTCGTTGAATAAAAGAAAAGTGCTTCCAGATAAAAGTGAAGTTGTTATTAGACTTAAAGAATATGTTTATTGCTGATAGATTTTTTTGTTTTTTTAATTTTTAATTTGTTTACTTAATAATTATTAACGATTTAATTTATCTTAGAAATTTTATATGCTTAAAAAGTCCTTTAAATAGCAAATATTAAATTAAAAAAAAAAAACAAGGGATCGTCTATAAATTAAGCAACACAAAATTTATTTAAAAAATAAAAGTAGGAGATTATTTGCTCTTTTGTGTAGCGATTTTCACTGGGCTTGAAGGGCTATTTTTATATTTGGTTTAATCATAGACTCTATGAGGGAAAATTTTTGATCTTTATTGTTTTGTCCACCAGTTAAATCAAGCGCTGCGCAACTAATGGACGATCCCCAACAGAATAACCATTTAATAAAAAAGTTAATGAAGATGACTTAGTGGTAGTTGAAAATGTATGAAAAAAATAAATGGTTTTAAAAATCTTGTTTATTAAAATTTTTATACGTTTGTGCTAAAAGAAACTTTAAATACAGAAATGCGCCCGCGAATATTTCTATATTCATCTTTGCTATTGAGCCTCATAATCAAAGTCTCAATTCGCTCAACGCACTTTTGCTTCTTTTTTTAACATTTTGTTTGATTATAAATATGTATAAAAAAACCCTGAGGCACTTGACTGTTATAAATCTACTAGAGCAGTAGATTTATAACAGTCACCTCTCCCAATGTCAACGCTGAATTTGTCTGCAAATAATTCTGTTATTTTTATTACGTTCCTCAGGAGCTCAGTTTTTGGTCCAACCCGATTTAAAGTCTCTGTGATTTACCAAAACTCAATAGCAGTAAAAATGATTGTATGTAAATAAATAATGTATGAAGACGACACAAAGATCCTCAGTGTAGTTATTACTTTAAAAAGCAAACTTTGTCTGCATGCTAATATTAATAACATCAAAAAATGTTAAGTTTTGCAGAACCAATCCAGATCTTTTCCGCACATCTATTTCATCAATGTTAAAAACTCCGATAGCGAATTAGAGACTTTCAAAGTTATTTTTTAATAAAAGTTAAGGAAGTATTTTAATCTCTATAACCGAAGAGGTCTACCATAGGGGAGGGTGTGTGTGTATTTTTTTGCCAACTAGAAACACCGAAAGAAAAAATATAGGTTCTCAACATTTGCAATTTGCCGACAATAGTTCAAAACTTGGTCAATGTGTCAACTCAAAAACTTATATTACAGCTTTGGGCGGAGGGACGCCACCTGCATCCCCATTCGGGACGGCCCTGGGTCATGCAATGCTATATATATTCAAATTTCAAAGTTATTCATTAAAAGAAAATTCTAAAAATTCATTCAAGAAAACAAAAACCAACAACAACCACAACAACAACAAAAAAATGAAAAAAAGAAAATAAAAAGTTAATTTAGAAAGTAACAACAATGTTTGCATAATTAAGATAGGAATGAATAAATGAGTAATATATGTATTTCACTCTTGATTGATCTAACTATGGTTTTGCTTTATAGAGTAATCCGATATTTTTAAAAATTTTATTTTCAATTATGTTTAAGTGGTCTTTGGTTTTCATCTAAAATTAGACCTAGAAATTTCATTGAACATTCTCTTTTTACGATTTATTTTCCAAGAATAAGTTTTGGAAGTGCAAGAGGGATTTTATTTTTTTATCGAAACGATGAAAAATAGCATACTTAGTTTTAGTTAAATTAATTAAAAGTTTGTTCATATTTAACCATTCGGTTAGTTTTAGAAGTTCAATTTTGACCGTTTTAAATAATGTTGTTATATCATTATGAGAATAAAATAAAATTTGTCATCAGCAAATAAGGCAGAATCTTGGTTATTAGGAGCTTTGCTTAAATCATTAATGGAGATTAAAAATAAAAGTGGCCCTAATATAGGTATATAATATAACCCTAATATAACGCCGCAAGTAATTTTCTAATTGTTATTTTTTTCATTGCTGAATGAAAACATCTAAAGTGAACATATTTTTGTCAAAACCTTTAAAAAAAATCTGTATGAGATGAAAAATTGCATGACCAATAGAATGCCCTGCTTTGAAGGCAAATTGTTCGTTATAAAGAATATAATTTTATTTTAAAAATGAGTATAATTTGTTATACATAATGCGTTCTAGTACTTTCGAGAAGCAAAGAAAAATGAAAATAGGTCTATAGTTATAAATATTAGTATCATCTCCAGATTTAAAAACTGCTATTACCCTTGCAATTATAAGTTTTTTTGAAAAATTTCTATGTTCAAACGAAAGATTAAATGTATGCAAAAGAACTTTTTTAATATAGAAAATACATTTAATTACAACATTACTACTAACATTATCCAGTCCTTGTGTTTTGTTTAATTTAATAAATGCACAGCATCTAATAACTTTTTTCACTTAATTCAGCATTTTCTATTATTGATTTTCTAGGAACCAAGTGTTTCTCCTTGTTAACCTCACTGTGTTTTAATTTTGATGCTAAATATAAACCTGCATTGACAAACACCTCATTAAATGTTTCAGCAACTATAGATTCTGTTATATCTTGATGATGATAATTTAGTTTTTTTGGAAGACCATTTAGCTTAAGTTTTTTTTCTCCAATTACTTTTTTAATGACTTGCAACGTTTTTTGAGTATAGCTTTTAAATTTTATTGTTTTATTTGAACAGTATAACTTCTTTGAAAAATTTGATTTAAAGTGACCTTTATATTTTTTTATAACTTAATTCATTTTCATCAATATCAAAATATTTCCAGATTAGACCTTTGGTTGCTTTGTTCATTGTGGATTTATTTTTTACCAAGTTTTATTTCAAAGTTTAATTCCTAGAAAATAGTTATTGCTTTTAAATATATATATATATATAATTGAAGACGATCTTTATTTACCTACTAAAAATAATATAAATTTAAATTTAGGGCAGTTGCCGATCCATTGGTAGTGACCTGTACCAATCGGCATCATCCGCGTATAGGCATGGGTGCACTCCTAGTTTCTAACTCAAAATTATTGTGTTCCGCAGAATTGAAATTAGTCGTATCGTTTTCAAATAGGGTAACTTAATGTTATCAATCTGATCACTCGATCCCGCCCACTCTTCTTGATTGAAGTCAGCGAAAACCCCACTACATCAACAAAAAGACATTAAAGCAGCAAACTAGTCTTAATTAAAATCATACTAACCTTGACCTCAGACCATTGACCTCAAAGAAATTGTAATTAATGAAATATCTGCCAATTAAATTTTGTTGACTTGTGAAAAGATTTCCGCTGCCTAAATTGTTGATTTCAAATTAGTTTATCTAACTCAACCGAGTTAAGTTGTTGTTGTGCATTTTAAGTTATAGTTTTAATTGTTTTCCATAGTTTATTCTGTTAGTATTATAATGTTTATTTTGTTTGAAATGGTATACTATTTCAAACAAAACACACATTATTATACTATTGAAAATTATCTTTAGGCGAGAATATATTCATTCTGCAGGCGAGATCAAATTACTTTGGGTAGGTTGGGAAGAAAACAATTTTAAGCATAATCTAACATTAGGTTATACTTAAAATTGTTTTCTTACCAACTTACCCAAAGTAACTCAATCTTGCCCACACAATGAATATATTATAGCCTAATGCATCAAACCTTGCCGGGTGGGTAAGCACAGATTAAGCATGTTATACAAACTAATATTGCAGAAATTTGCCTGAAGTTTACTTGGAAATATCAACAAACAGCTTTTACTTAGAAACTTCCAGGTCCTGGACATTACCGCCGTATGTTACTCGCGCCTAGGATTAGGGTTTGGTTACAAATATTTACTTATGGTTTTTAACATATGTTAAAAATTTTTGCTTTTTAAAGATTATGTTAAATCGATATAACATTTTTTACTATAGTATTATTTATCTAAGTCCTCGCTTGAAAATTAACATGGTTAAAGCGAGAGGTGGGGATGTAGATCTTCACTAATATCTAGCCTACAAATTAACTAACGAGACTTGATTTTGCACAACTGTATATAATGTTGCCCAGTGGGCGAGATTGAGTTTAAGTGGACGAGGTTCAGTGCTTTTGACACCCGTTACAGCTTTTAATTTTTATATCAAACACTCTTATAAAAAGATTAGAAAATTTAAACATTTTAAGAAAAAAACTCAACTAAACTAAAGACTTTTAATGACAATTGAATCAAAAAAGTAAGATTTAATTTCATAATAAAAAAGTACTGGCGACCATAATCATAACTATAACATTAAAATCACTATAAAAATGATGGAAATATATTTTGAAAATTCAAAAGATAATGAATAAAATATAAAATATATTAATTCAAACTATTCAAAAAAAAAATTTAGAAATAATTTGTTTTGAGTTAAAAAAATTTTAAAAAAGTCTTTAAAAAAAAGTTTAAATATTTCGTAAAGAATTTTTTTTTTGAGAAACACTAAGCGACTTTGTGTTTCTCAAAAAATCATTTTTAATGTATTTATTTTATTCATATTTATTCTTTAGATGCAGCTAAAATGTTTCTAAAGCATCGGATCAGGAAATCAAATGGTATCTTTTTGGAGATCAGGAAAAAGAATATGGTATCTTTTTGGAAGACATGTCTAAGATGTATTACGGTCTATCTGTAATGCAACTGCGCAAATTGGCAAACTCTTATACTGCAACAGATAAGATACCACATGGACACCATCCTCCACATGGGATAAAACCAAGCAAGTCGGCCGCGTCTGGTACAGAGGTTTTCTCGATAGAAACCCTAAACTGGCATTGAGAATACCAGATGACCCAAGCTTGGCACAAAGCACAGTTTTCAATCGTGACAATGTTGGTGAATTTTTTACGAAATTAAGAAATGTCTATAAGGTAAAAATTACTACATCAGTGCAACAATATCTGTGGAGTAGTCCAAGATCATCTGTACACTTTTGTCCAAGATCATCTGTGTTTTTCTTTTACTCTAATATCATCTGTCCAATATCATCTGAAAATTCAACCCCCTAACATTAATAGTAAATGTATTAATAGTTAATGTTTTTTTCCAGATGTAGTTACGTCTAAAAAAATTTCTATATGTAATAACATCTGATTAAAATAATGGATTATTAGTTAATTCATCTTAAAGATAACTTCATCTTAAAATCTACAGATGTAGTTGCACAGATGTTATTACACTTTGATCATTTAAAAGTTGTAACTATATCAGTAAAATTCAATTAATTTTAGTACAGATGTTATTAGACATCAATATTTCCTGAGTGTTGGGGGGTGGGGGAATTAAAATAATAGCGTGCGTACCTTATGGATAACCCCTAAGTGAGTAATAATATTGAATTAATGCATATCTTTTTTTTATAAGAAGAGATATAGGTAGCAGGGCTAAGAAAAAGACTAATATGTCTTATCGCCAAACCCCTTGATAAGTTCCATAAATATAAAGTTTAATTTAAAAATAAGCAATTCCGTTAGCTATTTAAAATAAACAAACCTAAAATTGGTAAAGTAATAAATAAAACATCTATTATTAAAAAATAAAAAGAAGCGGAATTAACTAAAACATAGTCTTCTAAAAGCACGGCAATAATTAATTTTTATTTATTGAAAATTCATGATTTAACTCCTTTTTTAAAAAAATAATAAACTTCAGAACGCAAAACCAAAGTCTAAGGATCAAAAAATTAAAAAAATAAGAACACATATTAAACAACAAAGACATAAATAAATTAGTTACCAAAAGCATTTATCTTAAGCTTTTCTAAAATATCTATTTACAAAATATATCTATTTAAAAAAAATTTTTCTTTGTTTAATAATCTAAAAACTCTAAAGACTGTTTTGTAAGACATTTTGAAATTATCTTGTGTTATTTCAGTATATAAAAATAGCTCAAAGCTCTCAAGTACTAACTATAAACCAATTTCAATTCTTTCTAACATTAGCAAGGTCCTTGAAAAACTAATGTACTCTAGATTATACTCAACACTCTACTTGCCACACTTGAATAAGTATAAACAAAAAAATAAAAAAGGCACAGTATACTGGTCATTTTGTAGGTTGTGTTTTTATCGACTTACAAAAAGCGTTTAATACCGTTAATCATACCATTTTAATTTTTAACTTGAACATTACGGTATCCGAGGAGTTGCTTGTAAATGGTTTTAATCTTATCTTTCAAATCGAAAGCAGTTTGTTATCATTAATGGTTACAAATCAAATAACAAACATATAGTTTGTGGTATTCTCCAGAGTTCTGTTCTTGGCCCTTTATTGTTTTAGATTTATATTAATGATCTAAATAACTCTGTCCACTTCTCATCAGTCCATCTGTTTGCTGATGAAACTAATTGCATATTAATATAATAATAAGTCTCATCATTCCTTATGTAAGAATATAATCTTAGACCTAAAAAGTTTAGTTTATTGGCTAAATGCAAACTTAATTTCTCTGAACTTGGAAAAAACTGAGCTAATATTTTTTTCAATTTCAAGACAAAAAATTTCATAAAACAATCATATTACTAAAACTAATATTAGTAATAGACGTTTATATCCAACACACGTTGTTAAATACCTTCGTATTTTTATAGATTCGAACCTCTTATGGAATTTTCATATAGATGTACTCTGTAAAAATCTTAATCGAGCGAATGGCATGCTTTCAATAATTCGCCATTATGTCGATAAAACTACCCTTATGAATCTGTATTTTGCAATTTTTCAATCTTATCTCAATAAGTGTTGTCAAGTTTGGGGACAAATTGGCAACTGTAATAATAATAAATTGTTATCAGCTCAGCGCCAATCAATCCGAATAATTAATTTTCAACTCCATAATACAGAAACTTCAAAATTCTTCAAAAAACTTAAAACTCCTACCTTGTTAGCACTAGTTAAATTTGCTAATCTTCTTTTTGTTAATGGTTCCCTTAATAAAAATTTACCTTCCTCTATTGCAACCTTTTTCACTGAGACTCGATTTATACATTCACATTAAACTAGAAGCATCAATAATAGAAAATTAAATGTACCTCCGTGTAAAACTTTGAGGTATGGTAAGTATTCAATTAAACATTAGTGCATCAGTGAATGGAATTGAAGTCTTGTGTGCATTGTGAATGAGTTTGAAAAGATGAAACTTCAAAAATAATTTATTTTCATTTCTTTATTTAAAACAAAATAAATTTAAACCAATTCTAAAAAAAAAATTATTTTAATTTTTTATCATTATTAACTTCCTTTAGTTTATTATTATTATTTTTTCTTACTATTTTTATAAAAACTTTATTGTTTTTGTCATTAATACTTGTTACTTTCATCACTGCTGTTTTTATTATTACTGTTATTATTACAATTATTACAAATACTATCAATTTAGTTTTTATTTTTGTTCTATGAATGAATAAAGTTATTATTATTATTATTCTTATTATTCTTATTATTATTATTATTTGTTGTTTCCTGTTAAAAGATAAGTTACATTTTTATTGGGGGGGTTTTTGTTATTTTTATTTTTAATTTAGTCTTTTTGTTTCAAACGGTATCATAAAGTTGCTCTTGTATTGTGTTTATTTATATTGTTTTTTAAACAATATAATGCTGTAAAATGTTCTGGAACTAGACTTAAAACCATATTTAAAAGAATAGTATATTAAAAAAATATTTTAATAAAAAATTATTTGTAATATATATATAGTGCTGAGCATGAGTAAATTTGTTTTTGTTGTATACTATTCTTGAAGCGTGTTTTTGACGTAAGTTAAATGTGGTTCTAATTTAGATTTGTGGTTAGTGCCCCATGCTATATTGACATACATAACACAGCTATGTATGAATAAAATGGAAACAAGTTTTACACTTTTTTGTTACAAAAATGGTCTTGTTTTTTAGAACCCCAAAAAACTTTATACTCAGAGCGCTTTTTTTTTTTTCTTTTTTTTTTTTTGTTATTTAGGTGCCCCAAGAAGACTTAACGGTCTTGTCACAGAGTACCACGGAAGTGCATTTAACCCGGAAGTTCACGCATTTTGCCCCAATCACGTGACCAGATGACAATTTTATAAACTTCACATTTTGATATTTAAAAAAAAAAATGTTTTTGAAACCTGAAAACTCCTCCAGGCAATGAATTATTATGATAAATCAAACATACTGAAAAAATATTATGGTTTCAAGATTGACAGTATTTCAAAAACTCAGGATTTTTAATAACGTTTACCATCTTGTCCTGTCTTCTATAAAAGTATTAATTATTTTCTATCCCAAGAACCTGTGCGAAAACTTAGTTTAAGTTATATGATTAAAATTTTTTATTAATAATTAATAACTTTTATTCAGAATTTTATTACTTGTATTTTTTTTTATTATTACTTATTATGTTGTTTGACTTAAAATAACATGGTTAAACATTTTTTTTTAGTATGATTCGTTTAAATAACTTCTTCAAGCTTTTTCTCAAAAATACGAAAGTTTATCGGAGAAGTATTTTTCATTAAATTCTTCGTTTTATTCTACGTTGTTTTGAAAAAACGAAACCGTTAGGAAGTTTCGTTAACTTAATTTAAAACAAAAAATAACGAAATGAAAGGTCGGCAATCGCGAAACTAATAAACCAGACAAGTTTATAATTAACGTAACGAACACTCGCAATTAAGTGCATTATTAAACAAGACTGGTTTTTACACGCCTAACAAACTTTTTTGTTTGTATACTTATTTTTAATTGTTATAATTGTATTTTAATAAAAAAAGCTAATCGAAATTTAAAAAAAAAATGATTTTAAAATCTTTTTTTTCAAAATTTAAATTTTATTGTTTTTTGCTAAATTTTTCTTCACAAAATATAATAAAAACTATTGATTGTAGAAACCAAAAAAAACCCACCGTTAAGCTTTCGCAAGCTTGCTCATTCAAGGCGTGCGGGCAACCTTTAAACGCAAATCCCAGGTTTTGTGCAAAAACAGAGCTCTTTGCAAATCTAGCACGTTTTGGAGAATTTGTTTGCAGCATTTACATAAATCCTTAATATTAACAGCGATCAGCAATAAGTCTTTAATTTACGATTAAAAGCAGTTAGTTTAGATAATTAGAAGCAAAAAATAAATACACTAATTTCTCTGTTTTTATTATGAGTCAATCTCTATCCTGGATTACGTATTAACTAATGGATAGAATACTGGTAAAAGAAGCTTATCTTACATTATGTCATCTAATGCAAGCGTGAGTCATAACAATCAAAACAATAATTCGTCTTTTGATCATGCTAATGGATATATGTCAATAATTCAAGAGGTTAAATCAAAACCAATAGATTGTGGAGTTTGCGGTGATAAAAGCTCAGGAAAACATTATGGAGTTTACACTTGCGAAGGTAGATTACTTTTATCCATTCTACTTATTAATGTGTTATTTTTACACTTTAAATATTTATGACATAAAAGTATTACGTTAACCTAAAACACATTATAATCACCTAAAATAAAACCTAAAGCATTTTAAAGTGATCTACGATATTAGATAATATGTTTTTTTTTCCATTTAATCTTTTATGGTGATATAGTGGTAATAACTAGAAATTTGCACAGGACTACGTGCTAGGTTTGGGATTATTGTGTATACAAAAATAAAAAACAAAAACAAAAACCTTTGAAGTTGTTATTAAAAATAATGTATTAATGTATAAATGTTGCAGGCTGCAAAAGTTTTTTCAAACGAAGCATTAGACGAAACTTAGCTTATACTTGCAGAGCCTTTCAAAACTGTTCCATTGACTTAAATCACAGAAACCAATGTCAATATTGCCGATTGAAAAAATGCGTCAAAGTTGGAATGAGAAAAGACGGTATGTCAATTCTTTCTGGTTTATATATTTTGTTTTTACTGTTGCGTTTGAGTTTTTATTGAGTTTTTAAACGTAAAATAAAAACATTTAATGTAAAGTATAAATGAAAAGAATTTTAAATATACTAATAGCGCTCATAATCATTTAATTAAAACAACTTTTGAAACTAATGTGCATATAAAGTTTATTAGTGGACACAATTGGTGAAGTTATAATAATTGAGTTTTATCTCCCTTTTGTAATGTTGAAATTAAATGACTAAAAAATCAAATTTGTTAAACTGACTGCATAGAGAATATATTATTTATTATTTATTAAGTATTATAGATTGGTAAAAGACAAATTAGCATTTAGTAACATGAGAATTATAAAGTTCCATCTCCCATTTTACATGTTAAGAAAATTTAACTTTCGTTTTTTGTTTGATATTTATTATTCTTATGTTCATAATTATCTAATTTAACATATTATTTTATTATTTTAACATATTATATGTACAACTACATAATTAACAATTATATAGTTAACAATTATATAATTTTAACATATTCATATAACATATACTATGAACACTATTAGTATTATAAAATAATCTCCGACATTCTTGTGGAATCATAAGATTTGTCATAAGAAATCATAAGAAAAATCATAACTAATGTATAATACTACATTTTTTATCAAAAGTTGTCAAAATCTTTTTGACAACTTTATTTTTGTGAATTAATTTTTTTTTTTACCTTAACATTTTCTTTTTTATTTATTCAATGCATCTTTTATTTCCTTTTTACTAGGTTAGTCTACGATTTAAACCCTTTAATATATACTTTTTACTAGGTTAGCCTACGATTTCAACCCTTTAATAAATACTTTAAGTTATTAGTTTTTGATTGTGAGTTTTAACTGTCATTTCTATGCACTTCTAACAGTGCTCGATGTTTGAAATTAAAATAAAAATTAATCTTTCCATTCTTTTGGAATAAAGTGAATCTACCATGATCTGTGACAATAATGCTGTGAAATAATTGTAGCCTAAGCTGATAGTGGGTCCTTCAGGAAGAACAAACAGTCAAAACCACTATATTATCTGTTACATCCCGTAGCATTTGAATCTTAATGAAACTAAATTGCTTGTTTTAATTCCTGGTAATTTGCGTTGCTAAGAGATGCAATGAGTTAGCCATGAACCTGTCCACTAAAACCTGAAGTTTGGCAAATCTGCTCCAAGGTAAAACACGCTCTGTCAAATTTTTTATTTCAAAAGCAGCTATGCATTTTTACTTTTTTCAATCTTAGGCCAAAGATCTTGATGCTTTTTTTTTATTAGGGTTGATTGAGTTTGTTGTAAAGTATGTATTATATCTGCACAGTCGACAGTAGACTTGGAAGAAAATAACTTGCAATGCTTCTAACTTCGCATAATGTTTTCCAATATTAAAAGCTGTTGTGTCGGCGCAAAGATTCATAATCTGGTTTGTGTCAAAGATCCCTAAGGCAGTAGAAGGGTCGGTAATTTGTTTATCATCTCCGAGTCCGGTCTTCTTAGCTTTCTTCTAGGGGTACTTGAAGTAATCTCCTCCAAACAACAACATCAAGCAATGGTAATCCAAAGTTTTGATGAGTACTATAACATAGCTGTTTCAGCTCTCACACTAAATTGATACCTCGGAAAGAGTATATTACCATAATTGGTTGAAATTTAGACAATTTTAAATGGAATTTTCTAAAAAATCACTTAATCAATTGTAATGATTTTTTTTTTATAATGATGCTTACATAATTAGTTTTTATTTCAACAAAATAAATTAGGCTTAAACTTTACAACCTGCAAGTATACTTGCAGGTTACAAAAAGTTATATTATAATTTAACTTTTTGTAAAGTAATAAACGCCACAATTTTACTTTGCGTCAATTTTTTTGTAGCATTAATTCATAAATCTCAAAAAAAATGAAAAACTATTTGTATATTTATCTTTTTTCCTCAATATAAGATTCCCCAATTAGATTCGAATATTCGCTCAGGACAGTTTTGTGGATTAGCGTCCTTTGGAACAAAATTTACTCTATTTTTCTTATATCCCTGCATTTCCTTTATGGATCGATGCCAGATCTGGCCAAAATAAGATTGGTTGTTTGTCCTTTTTAATTAGAAAAAAACGTTTTTTTTTCAAACATTTAATCACATATAGATCTGATGTCAAAGATTGATTTTTTATGAAAGGAGAGCTTTTAATATCGATTCTTGATTTTACATTCTATTGCTGTTGATTTTGAATTCTTTTCGGAAATATATCTTGATTTTCTAAAACTTCCCGGGTTTCTTTTTACATTTTTGTTTTCCATTTAACGTGTAATAACAATTTTAACGTTGATTTTGGAACTTTCATAAGAAATCTTTAGTAAGCTTTTGAAATCATTGAATATGAGAACGATTGATTTTCTATTTAAAATTTTAAAAAAAAATTTCGATTTTCAGATTCTTTACTCGACATTGCAAAAGCTAATGAGAACTTTTTATATAATGAACTTTTTTTATACATCAACTTATTTACCTTGTAATGAATACATTCCATTTCTATAAAACATCATTAAAATTGAGTTAAAAAGAAACCTTTTTTTTTTTTTTTTTTTTTTAAGTTGATTAAGGTGCCCCAAGAAGTCCTTACGGTCTTATCACAGAGCACCGCGGAAGAGCATTTAATAGGAAGTTTACACCTCCTTCCCAACCGATGTCGCAAAACTTGCCAGAGGTGAGGTTTGAACCACGGATCTTCCGTTTCTGAGGCAAGTGCATTCCACTGCGCCACGGCTGCTCATCTTTTTGAAACAGTTAATTTTTCAACCATTGTCTGAGTCATCTTTTTTTCTTTGTAGTAGGAGTCTTAGATCCTAAATCCAAATCTGTTTTACTACATCAAAAACATCAGCCATGTCTAAGAAGTTTTGGTTGTGTTGGTTCTGGATTTCTTCTCTCGTTTCCAGACTCTCGTCATAAATTTATTATACTAAGTATACAGTGCAATGATTCTATTCTTAAATCAAAAAAAATGTTGAAAAATAATCACATATATCAAAATTATGAATTAAATATACAATAAAAAGTTTTATATTTTACAGAATATTTTCATGATGAAAAAATTCATTTAACATTAACCACTCAGTTAATTTTTCATTGGTTTTAAAGTTTTTATAAAAAGCTGCCTTTTTCCAAATGTTAAACAGCTCTCTTATGATGCAAACATTACACAGCTTGCATGTACACTGCTTATTGATATCATCATACCATCACCGAATTTAAGCTAGTCTGTAGTGTTCTTTATCCAGTATATCTATTTTTGGATAACAATGCTTTGATTATAGTTGCATGACTCCTTTTTAGTAAGAATAGGAAACTAAACACTTTTTAAAAATTCAATACTAAATATTGAGTTCCAATCATAAAATATGAATATATTTCTAAACTTAGGAATTGTCCATAAATTACGTAGCGCGAAATTTAAATTATAATTAAAAGACAAAGGGTTAAAAGTTTTTAATCGCAGAGTTTATAATTAAACCAAGTATACAAACAACCTTTCAAGTCCAGCAAAAATTGCACAAAATGATCTCCTACTTATATTTTTTAAACAAGTTTTGCGGAGTGTAATTTATGGACGATCCCTTGTTTACATGATTTTTTTCTAAAACACCTTTTTCAGCAAAACAATGTCTAAGAGACAAGATATTTTATAATATGCTACTAAGATCCAATGGAGGATTGCCATAGTGCATATAGTTGTATTAAAAAAGAATTTTCTCAGACACCCAATATTGCTTTCAAACCAAAATGACGCCTTTTGTTGCTAAAAGCTATCTTGAGTTATCATTAAGTAGAAGGCAAATAAGAAATTTAAATAATTTTTAATTTATTGCGAGGAAAATTTTACTAAACAAATCATACATCCTAGTTGACATACTACAACATAAAGTTGTATATAAAAACTTATCAAACATAGTAATAAAAATTTATAATAAGAAAACTGCGAGATAACCCTTAAAATTAAACTTTACCATTTACAATATAAAACATACTTCTTTTAATGTTACCCCATATACAGAAACGACTCTAGGAATAAAATTAGGGGGGGGGGGGGAGTGAATACTTAAAAAGTACCGACTGGTTCCTTAAAAAAAAAAAAATCAAAAAAATCCTGTCTGTAGAATTGTCTATGCCAATATATGGAGTAACAATGATTATTTATCCCTTATTTGGTGTAACATTGAATTTTAAACCCCAACAATAGATTTAGTTATCTACTGATATTGTTAGATAAAATATTAACACTTTATCTTTTTTATAGCTGGAACATAATTGTTTATCACATATAGATATTTGGTGTAACATTGCATAAAAATTTATTTAAAAGATATAATAATGTTATCCCATTTTAGCTAATATGCTTTACTATTACATATTAGTTATATAGCAGGCCCGTAGGAACAATAATTATATTTGGGGGAGGGGGGGGCAATACTTCTGGGTAGGTTTAAACAGTAGTAGGTCAAAAAAAATTTTCAAAGGAATTTACGCCGAAAATACGGAAAACAAATTAGGTCCTCGCTATCTTTTTTTTTTATTTTATTTCTAAAATTGTAATTGTTTGCTTTTTTGTGAAAACTAACTTCAAAAATATTTATTTGAAAGTATATTAGAAAGGGGGGGGGGCAAATTCTCTTTCTGCCCAACTGGTTGCAACAGGCCTGTATAGTATAATATGTTTTACTCATTAAACTATTGTTTAACTGAATTGTAATGTAATAATTTCAGTTGATTAGATTACAATTCAGTGAAATAACGTTTATAATAATGTTTTTTTAATTTTTCGTCATAAAATAACATATTTCATTTCAAAAAAACATATTTCATTTTAGACTGAAAACATATTTTGGTTTTTTGAAAAACCATAAGAAGTCGGCTTTTAAAAAAACCCAAATATAGCATTTTTCAAAAAACTTGAACGGT